CTAGACAGAGCCCCAGGAGGGCCTGGTGAGCATTGTCACCAAGACGGTCATCTTTCCCTTCTTCTGCCCCCATTTGCCGAGTTTTGGCTCGTTTAGCACCATCTTTCATGCTTCCACTTACCCAGCATCCTTTCTTTCTGCAGCCCCCCAAGCCCACTGGCCTCCCCAGTGAACACCTCATAAATGGAAGTGCGCGAGGCTGTCTCAGAACACCGCCTCTCTCTCTGATTGTTTTTACAGGTGGATCTCCACTCTGGATTTTAGCATGAAGAGCTGTTTGCAGGCCTGCCGGGAGCCTCCCCAGGTGACAGCAGATAGGTCCCTCTCTTAACTGGCGAAAGATATGTCCTGAGAACTCAGGCGCAGGGCCCATCTCTTGTCCCAGGGCTGGCTCCTTGGACCATGAGTCACGAAGATCAGGTCCAACCTGGGGGCCGGAGGCCAGGCTGGCAGGCAGGGCCCTGGTCGCCCCCAAGGCTGCTCCCTTGCTGTGCAGTCCAGATCTTCTAAGCACAAAATTAGCTTCTTTCCATATATTCACAAGGGAAAGAACACCATGCTAAATATAACCCGGGTGCCGGGTGCCGTCCAGGGTCAACAAGCTGGGAAGGAGATAAACAGCCACCAGCAGGGGCTGAGTTTTCACAGAGCCCTGGGGCCACAGTGAAGGAAGACTGGACTGACCGATAGCAAGTTTAAGCCCTGTGAGACACAGCCCTGCAGAGAACCCAAAGAACAAAACCCCTCTTGTGAAACCCTCTTTTCTACCTCTGATTCCTCCAGTAAGGAAAAGAAGAGAAATCACCCTTAGTCCCACCACAGAGAGAAAATATTTATGAACATCATGGTATATCTAATTTGAATGTTTTGAAACAGAGTAGAATATAGTAAATAGTGTTTCTCAAACCTTTTCTTCATGTCACCTTGCTAAGGAGTCTTTCTAGGTAATCTTGGGCTACAAATATTAGTAACATCTAGGATTTTTCACCCTGCCTCCAAGCACCACTGTTTGTGCCTTTTGTGGGTGATCTCTCCCCAGTAAGAACGTAGGCTTTGGCTGCATACTGCTCTGGGTTCTTTGTGTACATGTACTTGTTTCTTATCATAATTTCCCTATGAGATGTGTACTAGCAAGGCTTCAGCTCCACATTGCAGTTGTGGAAGCTGAAGCACAGAGAGGTTGAGTAACTTCCCCAAGATCACACAGCTGAGACAGAACAAACAAGCAAACCTGGCTGCCATGTTCTCTCTTCACCACCCTACTGTGCTGCTTTTCCCACCACAGATTCTGACTGTAAAACGTTAAAAATCCAGAAATAAATTAGAAGTTACCCTTCTCTACCCCTCCAGCCCCAGGAGAAATCCTTGGTACAAGTTTGGAATGTGCTCAGCCCTCACAGGACTTTAACATACATATTTATGTATTTTTAAACATAGCACCTTTAAAAAATTTTTAACTAAAATCTAATCACCCAGTCTTTTTCACATATATATATATATATATACATATGTGTGTGTGTGTGTGTGTGTGTGTATTCCTATGTGTATACAGAATTTTTTTAAATAATTAGAACCACACTGAACATTCTGTACTGTGGTTTTAATTTTGCTTGACTTTAAAAGGTACCATTGGCTGCTGTGTGGCTATAATTTAATAGCTGTGTATACCATAATGTACTTAAGCAGATCTGGATTTCTGGCTATTTTAGTAGTTTCCAGCCTCTCACTACTATGAAGTTGCAGTGAATATTTTTATGCTGCATCATCCTGAGAAGGTGGAATTACAGAGGCAAGGTCTATAAACACTTTTGACATGCTTAGTCCATAAATGCCCAAACTTGCCATCCAGAAATACTGCATGAAATCACCCCTCCCGACTCCCTTCCCACTCTGGCTATTACTGGCTGTTTTTAATCATTGACAATTTAATAGGCAAAAAATGTGTTGATCGCAATATTTTCCTCTGCCCACGGCTGTCCTCTGGGTCCTGTTTACCTGGTGACAGACAGTGTGAGGCGCTGCTTGACTCGAGAGAACCAGAGTAGGGCGGTGGGTGGGGTGGGAGCGCCGTGGTCACAGGGCTGTGCTTACTGCCTGAAGCCCTACATGCACCTCCTGTGGGCCCTCAGCGGGGCTCAGACCATGGCTTTTCATCTCTTTCAACTCCAGTTCAAGCCTGGCTGTGCACATCTCCGTCCCCAGTCCCCTAACATTTAGCCTTGTCTCAGATCCACTCAGCACCCCAGCATAGTGGCACACACCTGCAATACCAGTGGTCTGGCTGAACCAGGAGGATCACAAGTTCAAGCCCAGTCTGGGCAACTTAGTAACTTAGTGAGACTCTGTCTCAAAATAATATTAAAAATGACTGGGGATGTAGCTCTGCTAGAGACCCCTGCGGAAAGTCTCTAGTCCCCACCTGCTCAGGATGCAATGCAAGGTTGAAGAAAAACTTAAAGACAGAGTTAAAGGGAAAGTGTGAACTAGAATGGCCAATGCTCCTTTGGCAAAAGACACTGGTCGATCTCATCCACTGATTTTTATTAGTCATCAATTAGGATAAAGGTAAGCTATATGTAAGGGCAGGAATACATGAGAAGTTGTGCAATCATGCAATTTCTATGGAAACTAATGTAAGCAAGACTCATAAAGGACAAGACAAAGCATTCTCGAATTAGGAACAGAATAGACAAAATATATGGTTGTAATTAGAACATTGTCCTTCTAGTAAGATTTTATTTGTGGGAATGGAATTGGGTGTGAGTTACTCTGATCTTGGCAATAGGCTTTGGCCAGACTCACTTCTATAAAGAAGCCAATTGTGGAGTTAACTCTTCACAGCCTGCTTTGGGCATAATCAATATTACAGTCCCATGCCTAGCTCAGTGCAAAGGTGCTGGGTTCAATCCTCAATACTGGAAGTATCCATTCTGTAGAACCAAAGCTTCCCGGGGGCAGTCAGAGCCACAGCCTCCACTGGGGGCTGGGAGGAACAACTTCGAGAAACAGAGCCCTAAGTGCATACAGCGGCCCCTGCAGCCATCAGTCCCTGCACACCACACATGTGCACCCTCAGACCTGCTCACACCCCTGCCTATGCAAGAATGTGCACATATGCACGCAGCGTCACAGCAGGCAGATGGGAGATACATCATAAACATGCCTGTGTGGCCTGCACGCATGTGTGTGTGTGTGTGTGCTCACATGCATGGGTGCGCATGTGTGTAGAGCCTCCTATGCATGCACACACATTTGCACACAGCGCTGTGCATTCACAGAGCCGCCCTGTCCCAGCAGTGGCACTTGGCTTCCTTGGAGCCTGAGTGGGGCCTCCTGTTGTCTAAAGCCATGGTTCCTGAATTTTCTTCCCACTTCTTGCTATTCCTGGGAGACCCTGTCCCTGCAGGCCCAGAACCCCCACTAATCTCAAACTTCCTCACCTGCTTCACCAGTGCCTTGTGCTGCTCAGCAGGCACCAAGATGCAGCACAAGAAATATTTGTTGGGTGGGAGAAAAGGCGCAGACCTCAAGCTGATATGTGATGTTGTCCCAAGTATTTGTGGAGGACCTTTTATCAGAGTGTCCAGTTTCAGATGAAGCCCGTAGTTTGACAAGAAAATATCCCTGTGGAGTTAGATTTCACATGGCCTGGTTAGCTGTCTGCTTTGAAAGACTGGAAAGAATGCAGGATTGGAAACAGGACCTTGCCCTTCTAAACATCGGCTAAGTTTTACTGTTTGGCACAATTTCCTGCTGGGGGAATGGCTGATTGAGGAGAGGTCTGCAAGGAGCATTGCTTGCACCTCCTTGGTGGTCCCTGAAAATGTGCTAACCTGAAGTGTCAGGTGACTGATGTGCTAACTCACTCAGCCTTCTAATGGCTACAGACTCCCAGGCCTGCTGGCTGCTCCTGTTAGCTCAGGGTCTTTGAGCTATTTCCTGGGAAGAGAGTTTTATGGTCCAGTTGGGCACAGAGCTAAGATGAGAAGTGTGTAGGCTTCTGCCCCCTTTAAGAAAAGGAAAGTTTTTATAATTCCAGCACTCTGGGAGGCTGAGGCAGGAGGATTGCAAGCTGGAGCTGAAACTAGGCAACTCATCAACTTATCATGATCCTGTCTCAAAATAAAAAGGGGCTGGGGATATAGCTTAGTATGAAGGGCCTGTGTTCAATCCTCAGTATCACAAAAATGGAAGGGAGGGGAGGGAAGGGAAGGGAAGGGGATAGGAGAGATCCATGTGGCTGAAGGAGTGCTTGTCTTGCTAAAGGACTTGGTCTCTAGCCATGTCATCCAGCCTCCACTCAGCAGACCCTTTTTGAGTCCCTGGATGTGCCAGGCGCCCTGATGATGTGGTCATGGGAAGAAAGAGGTGATGGGGGCTTCTGAGAGCCTCTGGAAGGGCAGCTGGGCTGGGTGGTCTAAAAACTGCATAGGTGCCAGAGGGGGCATGCAGAGAAGGCCAGGTGAGAGGGGATGGGGGCGGGGAGGCAGCACCCTTCTCCTACAGAAAGTGGGGAGCCCACATGGGTGGTACACAGACATTGCAGGCCATGTGGGTGGGCCATGTCACTGACTGACACCCCAGCACCAGGTGATCCTGCCATAGTGACTGATCATGGCCCAGCCATGCTGTCTCCAGCAAGCATGAGAGTTTCCAGCACATCACTAAAGTTCACAAAGTGTTCCCATGTCCTGAGCACTGGACTTCCTCGGCCCCTGCAGGGAAAGTTCTGGCTTCTCCTTTGCTCTGGAGGTAGGCAGGTCGGCTTCCTCTGCCGGCTCCCACAAGGAGCCCAGAGAGAGCTGATGCATCAGATGAGACGGTGTGTTCAGGGTGGGATGGCCACAGATGACACCCGATGCATCAGAGGTGAGGCTTAGCTGGCTGGAGCACCGTGGCTCACAGCTGCTACTGCCTCGGTGAAGAGCAGGGCCGCTGTGTGCATAAAGGAGTCTCAGGTCTGAGCTGATTTTCTCACTGCTCTTCCTGTCTCCTTACAGACCTCTCCGCTGCAGCTGCGCACCTGAGATGCCCAGAGTCTGCGTGGAGCCGTCCCTTGACTGTTCAGCAGATGATTTTTTAGTGTGGCACTAGAGATTTTCTTTAATGCACATAAAAGATTTTTGCTGCTGCTGCTGCTGCTTTTTATTTATTTATTTTCTTCCTTTGACCCGGGCTTTGCCTGGCTCTTGCGGACATGATGGCCCAGTCCAAGGCCAACACCTCCCACCATGCACTGACCGCCATCGGCCTGGGGATGCTGGTCCTCGGGGTCATCATGGCCATGTGGAACCTGGTCCCTGGCTTCAGCACTGCGGAAAAGCCTACAGCTCAGGGGAACAAGACTGAGATTGGCAGCAGCGGTGGCAGTGGCATCCTCAAGAGCAAGACCTTCTCTGTGGCCTACGTGCTGATCGGCGCAGGGGTGATGCTTCTGCTGCTGTCCATCTGCCTGAGCATCAGAGACAAAAGGAAACAGCGACAGAGTGAGGAGCTGGCCCACATCCAGCAGCAGGCTGGGGCCACACCTCACACCCAGGAGGAAGACAGGTGGGGGCGCTCGAGGCTACACTAGAGGAGGGGCACATGCATGCTTTCAGGGGTGTCCATATGTAAACATAGCAGCTTGGCCTTCTGCTCTCATCCATGAAGGCTCCGTAAAATAGTTTTCCATTTTACAAAGAACTTGATGCTTCTAGACCAAGGTTTCCCAAATCATGTGGTATGAATGGATGACAGGGTCTCCAAGATTGTGAGAGCCCCAGGGAACCCAAATGGGCCCCAGGTGCCCAGGACCACCTGCATGATTACTTGTCCATCTGACCTAGGGCACTGGATATGCATGGTCTGATTTGAAAAGGTCGGGAACCAGTACTGCATTTGCCCCACAACCCCACAAACATGTTTCAAAAGACAGGTGACAAACTGGGGACCCTGTGAGGAAGGTTGAGATCTCCAGTTTAAAGAGTCCTTCTGGGCCAGGGATTTAGCTCAGTGGTTCCTCCACCTGCCCCAAAAGCACAAGGACCAGAGTTCAATCCCTGGTACCAAAAAAAGAGTTCTTCTAAGTGGCCATGGAAGATGAATATACCAGACAGAAAATGGACAAAACAAGCATTTCAGCTCATTGAAAGTTGTTCAAACTCATTAGTCAAGAAATACAAATTAAAGATATCTTTATTTTTAGGGGAGTTACAGGGAAGATGGGGCACAGAGGGGGTGTTGACAGATATAGCATTTCTGGGGAGTTTCACCATGAGGGATGGTGTTAAAGATGCATCCCCGTCCATTCTAGGGCTACGAGTTGATCCTCAGAGGACAGTCACACAGCATGAAGGCATTTATAGCAGTCTGCTTATCAGATGGTTGTTTAGAATAGCAAAACTTGTTAACAACCTAGATACACATTGACTGAGTGAAATCTTGAGCTACCTGCCCAATGCACTCCTGGCTACTGCACACCCATGCTTATTAATGGGGACCTTGCCCCACCCCCGAGAGAGGAGGTGGTCACCCAGCGTCTCTGGTGAGGTCCTCTCGCATCTCCTGGGGCGGTGTGGGCTACAGAGAGCTGGAGAGGTGTGCACCCCAATATTCACAGTGGTTATCTCCAGGTGGAAGTTTGGGATGTCTCTCTTTTCCCCATTAGATTTTTCTGGGCTTACATTTTCTACAAGCATTTCTTATCTTTAAAGCAAGAGGGGAGTTGTTTTTACGTTGGAAAACGTGAACTCATTTTCTGATAGTAAAAGATGATTCACGCCATCTTAGGATTTTCCAAAAAATCAGAATCAGTGGAATAGTCCTGTGCTGCTTAATGACCGGGAAATTCTGAGCAGGGCGCTGCCAGGCGATTTGGTCCTGTGAATGTCACACAGCTTACTTATGTCATTTGGCAGGATGGCCTATGGGACCATCGTCCTATATGCTGTCACCGACCAAGACATTATATGGTACCATCTGCAAACTGGAGCCCAGGGAAGCCAGTGGTGTGATTCAGCCCATGTTCGGAGGCTGAGCACCAGGGAAGGAGACACTATAAATTCTAGTCCAAGGGCAGGAGAAGAGAAAGGAGATGGCCCACCCCACCGTGCGGCAGGAAAAGGGGACAAGTCCTCTTCCCTCCACCTTTTGCTCCCCACAGGCCCTCAGCAGCTGGCCCTGGGTGCACCCACCCTGGGAGGGAAAACTCCTTTAGTGAGTCTACCTGTTCAGTGCACATCTCATGGAGAGACCGCTCTGACACACCCAGAAATGGACCCTTCCTGGCCAGGCACATACAATTAACCACCTCCAGGCTATTCTAGAAACCTTGGGAAATATAGAAAAGAACAAGGGAGGAAAGTCAGTCACCTGGAACTGCCTGCCTCAGCCACAAGCACATTCAGATTCCTTCCCAATGGAGGGTAAGAGGAGATCAAGGCCAGCAGGCAGGGGTCTGAGGTTGGTCGTTGTCTCCCTGCAGGTCCTGGAGGGGGGCTTTGGCCACTTTGTGTGTAAAGACAGCCTGAGATTTTGGTTTTCCCTTTGAACAGTTAAATAAGAGTAAGGCTGATGATCTGATCTGAGTCTTAGGGTAAACTTGAAAGAAAAAGTTCCAGCATAATTTGAGATATGTATGAATGTTATGGTTCACCTATGTGATGTGGTAAAAATACGGTGATGTTTAAATTGTTTAAAAATGTATTACAGTAAAAGGCATGTTGCCACTAAGCTCCCTCACTTCAAACACACTTATCCCATTTCTTGCCACTTTCTGAAGCAGTTCTGAATTCCCCTTTTGCTAGTGTCTTTACTTGCATTGTCATGGCTCCTTCAGTGTCCTGAATCCACTCAAAACGTTTCCCTTTCGTGGCCATTTTGGCTTTGGGGAAGAGCCAGAAATTGCATGGTGCCAAATCCAGTAACTAAGGTGGATGAAGACACACTGCAATGTTTTTATTCAACAGAAATTGTAGTAAATGTTTTGAATCAATTCAGAACATCGAAGCAGCCACCAAAAGACACTCATGAAAGACTTCCAAAACTTCTTAAGAAAGTGGCAAGATTAATAGGATAAGTATATTTGAAGTTGGGGGAGTATTTTGAAGGAGATAAATGGCAATGCATCTTTTTTTTTTGGTACCGGAAATCGAATTCCTGACCTTGCACTTTTGAGGCAGGCGGCAGAACCGCTGAGCTAAATCCCCAGCCATGGCAATGTATCTTTTATTGCAATAATATTTTATTTTAATTTAAACATGAACCATACTTTTTTTTACTACATTTCATACTCCTTCTATACCTGGGGACAGCCTTTGGCTTGGCACTGGCAGCCCTTTCATAGAGTTATGCATTGCCTTTGGCCACAGGACCTGACTGGGGATGGAATAAATAGCTCACATGTCATGTTGTGGCACGTGAAGGCTTTAAGGCAAAGGAGGTTCAATACCCACGTAATTGCATGTCATAGATGAAGTATAGCCTTCACCTTCTTTCCCTTTCCTAAAAGTGTGTCCAAGTTACTTAACCTTGATGTATGTTTCCCCATCCATAAAATAGGTATAATAATGGCATTTAGTTAGGTGCTGAGAATATGGAACCAGCCTGTTAAGGTACTTAGAACAGTGCTGCCTTCATCATCATAAACAGTTGGCACACTAGCTTTTATTGTTTCTAGGACCCACTTGTGCTTTACTGAGGAGTGCGGGCGGGCTCAGGGCCCATGTGGGAACTGAAGTTCATCTCTTTGGGATTTTTTTTTCCACAGTACCAGGGATGGAACACAGGGCCTTTGTGCTGAGCTTCATCCTCACCCCACCCCCCTTTTTTTTAAAGAGATAAATTACTAGGCTGAGCTCAAACTTGGGATCCTTCTGCCTCAGCCTCCCAGAGTGGTCTTTGGGACCTTACTTACTCAGCCATGTGCTCACACTGTGTGTTTCTATGTGTTGCTTTGCAGCCAAGAGGAGGAGGAAGAGGCCTCCTCGAGGTACTACGTCCCCAGCTACGAGGAGGTGATGAACACAAACTACTCAGAAGCCAGGGAGTTGGAGCAGAACCCCAGGCTGAGTGTCTCTCTCCCATCCTACGAGTCCTTGACAGGGCTCGACCAGACCATCCCCACCAGGCCCGAGGTGGACCCGAGCCCCGGGAACCCCCCCAACAGACAGAACTCCAAATTAGCCAAGCGCCTGAAGCCCCTGAAGGTTCGAAGGATCAAATCGGAGAAGCTTCACCTCAAAGACTTTAGGATCAACCTCCCAGACAAAAATGTGCCCCCTCCCTCCATCGAGCCGCTGACCCCTCCACCACAGTATGATGAGGTCCAGGAGAGGGCCTCTGACGCCCGGCCCCCTGATTGACAGCCCCTCTCGGCCACTACCCTCCTGTCCTGCACTGTCCACATCACAGACTGCAATGCAGCTGCTTTAGCCTGGCTGAGCAGCAGAGGGCCGATATGCACCTGGCTGTTGGGATGGGGGAGTCTGTGACCAGACAGGACCAGGGATGGTCCAGGACCCTGCTATAGGTGCAGCAGAAGGTGGCTGTCTGGATGCTGTCCAGGGTGCAGCAGAGTCTTCTTCTCATCTTCCTTCCTCGATGCTGAATCCGTTGCTGGCGACACGCTCCTCTTTCAAGCCAGGAAAGGATGCCTAACAATTTGTTTAGATTGTGACTGTTGTATTTTATTTCTACTATGACTGTTTTGTTTCCAAGAGAAAACAAGATTTTCATTTGCTCTCTTTCCTACATCCTGAACGGGGGTGCAGAGAGAGAACCTGGCTCAGCTTTGCCCCCAGGACCTGGATCACTCTGTGCAGGAAGCAGTTGAGCACGTGGGGTGGACCCGGGTGGTGGCTCTCGGGGTCCCTGATGCTGTCAGTTCTTTGAGGACCTCAGGCCTGATGAACTTGGGCACATAATGCACATGACGATAGTCTCACTGGTACCATTTACTAGTAGTCCCTTCTGTGTGTCAGCAAAAGAGACATTCTCCTCCTAAAATGTCATCGGACCAAGCTTTTTATAATAAAATATTTTATATGTAGCACACTTGATACCAGAGTCATTTTAGCAGCTCTTCCTGTACCATGTTCCTCGGGGAACGATAGCAATACTAATAGCTATTTGGTATCAACAGGCACAGGATACTTGGTATGGCCAAGCATGCCACATATGTCACGTGTCCTCGGTACCACTCCATTCAGTACCACTTGATGCCACTGCCAGTCTCAGGCTAGCTCACTGATGCTTGGGGGCATTAAACACCCTGAGTCACTACTGGGAACCCCAAGGCCGTCCTGGCTCCCGGCTTTCTGTTTCTCTTCGTTCTGTCTTTTAGTTTTTCTTCTCAGGCTTGCATCATACACTGAGCAGGAGGCTGGAGCCTACTGCAGAGGTTTCCAGTAATGTTTCAGGGGTTCCCAGTAATTGATGCTTAACATGGGGCATAATCAATATTGTGGTCCCCAGCAGTCACATCACAGTGAATGAACTTGAGGTCACAGATCTGGCCCCAGAGCCTGAAATCTTACTTCTCTATGTAGCTCCATGTAAAGAACATTTCCTTGCAGACTTTGAATGGGGACTGCGTGTCCCAAGAGCCTATGTGTAGCTAGAAAGTTCTGGTTTCAGCAGCAGCTCTCCACCTGTCCACAAATCCTCCCCACATCCTTTCCTGGGAACTGGACAGGGAGGGAGACAACAGGCTGTCATCTGCCCCCAGCTCTGACAGTGGCTGAGCACGTCCTCCAGAGGGGACAGCCATCACCAGCACAGCAGGGAAGCCACTCAATGAGAGACACCCAGGGACCACAGATGACGGAGGGTAGGTCAGAGGAGGGGAGTGAGACCTCCAGTCAGGCTTTGGCCTTGGAGGGAACCCTGAGTTCAAAGGGTGCCTTCCTGGTGGTGGCAGGCCTGGAGTGAGCTGCAGGGCAGTCCCTGCCTGGGCACTTGGTTGGAAGAGAAAATTCTCAGGCTCTGGAGGTTTCCCAACAAGCTCCCAGCAAGCAGGAGGTGGATCCCTTTCTTACCTGGAAGTGACAGTGGCACCCTGTCCCCAACTCTCACTTTCCAGACGCAAATACATAATAATGGGGAGCTGTCAGATCAACTCTGTGGCAGGGACACCACCCCGTGGCCCTCCGAGTCTCCTGTCCCTGGCTGGGCATGCTCTCCATTACTCTTCCTGCTTCTTCCTGACTGTTGAACAAATAGGCAAAAAATAGCTGAACAGAAAGGTCCCGGGGAGCTGAGAGGTGGTGTTCCAGGAGGGCTGTCCATCTGGCTTCTGGGAGACAGCTTTTGGGGTGTCTGCCCAGCCCAGACCCTCACTGGGGAAGAAAAGGCTTGGGGCTTGTGTACTGAATGGTGGCCCCAAAGGTATGAGACCCTGATCTCTGGAACATGGGCCTCTCACCCACATGGTAAGGTTTCTGCAGATGTGATGAGATTCAGGGTTTGAGATGAGGTTATCCTGGGTTTTCTGAATGGCTTCTAACTGCCAGCCACAAGTGTCCTTGTGAGTGAGAGACAGGAAGATGATACACACAGAAGAGCGGAGCAACATGACCACAGGGAGGAGAGGGGGCTGGAGCCCCAGAAGCTGGAAGAGGGAAGGGAAAAGTTCTACCCCAAAGCCTCCAAAGGGTGTGTGGCCTGTGGACTCCCTGATTTCAGCCCAGGTGATGCTGATTTTGGACATCCTGCCCTGCAGCTGTGAGAGAACAAGGGTCAGTGATCTCTGGAGCCACATGCATGATAACTGGGCAGCATCCCAGTTTAGTAAGATCAATATCAGCACTTACGAAGTGCTGATCACTTTAAACATTAGTGCAAAATGCTTAGATGATAACTGATTTAAAGCCACAATCATCTGACACACACAATATACAGATGAGGAGACTGAGGCAGGCCCAGAGATGCCCAGTCCCCACAACAAAGAGTTACCCTATCCCAAAGCCGATAATGTCAAGATTGAGAAACTGCCCTGGATGAGGGGAACTTGTTCTCTTGGGCAGTGGGACCCCAGTCCTAGACTTGGACCACCCAGCATCACCTCTATCAAAAAGGAGGGAGCTGTCCTCAGATGACACCCTGAGTATGCTACTTAGCATTTTAAAACGTGTCACTTTTACAAAGATTGTCTTTCCATCCCTCCCCCTATGCCAGAATTAAAAATCTAATTCTCCATGGCACCATATAAACAGATTTCTCTTCCCTTTCTCCTTTTCTCCATCTACTCCCAACCCTACCTTTAATGGAATTTTAATAAACTGTAATAACCTGGAATTTATTAACAGTAGTATTAGGGATGTGGGAAAGATAATGGTTGATGCTTCTTAAAACTCAGACTCTGAGAAATTTTATTTTATTTTATTTTATTTTATTTTATTTTGGTACCGGGGCTCTAACTCGGGTCCTTATGCTTGTGCAGCAGGCAGTGAAACCGCTGAGCTAAATCCCTGGCCCAGAGAAATTTCAGATTATTTAAAAGCATTGGAACCAATGAAAGGTATATAACAAAATAAAATAACTAAAATATAATTTTGGAAGCAAAAGTTATGGCATGTTTTCCCCCTGGGTTATAAATCTCAAAAAAATCAATCCCAAGTAATACAGCATGCTTCTCCAAGATAAACTGGGCTCAGCACTATAGAAAATTTAGAAATTATGCTGGAATTTTTAAAGACCAAGCAATATTCGTTGTATTTACCCTTGAAATATCATATTTCTGAATTTCTCCTTGATGATCATGCCTAGTCAAGAAAAATCATTAGCATATCTACTTTAAGAAAATACAGAGAAGAAAAAAATAAGATAATAATGTGGTATAGAACTTTTACTTTTTGGATAAAATCTGACAGGCCATATGTGCACATAAGAGAAATTGAGTGAATACTTGATAGGAACTAGTGAATAAATATACCTGCTTTATCTAATTTGCTGTCTCTTTCAAAGTTAAAGAAAGAGCAAAAAGGGGGAGGTGCATTTTTCTTTTTATTTCTGACAAATTTATTGTCTGGTTTTTTGTTTTGTTTTGTATCATTTTTCCGGTACTAGGAATCAAACTCAGGACCTTAGGCTTGCCAGACAGGCACTGGCACCACTGAGCTAAATCCCCAGCCCTATTTTTTGTTTTAAAATCAGTTTCAGGACTAAGGATGTAACTCAGTGGTAAAGCATTTACCTAGCATGCATGAGGTACTGAGTTCATTCCCCAGCACTGAAAAAAAAAAATCATTCAAAATCAAATTCAAAGTACTAATTCATGGACTGACTTTTTGAATAGGAAGGGATAGGTCATGCTAGCATTTGCAAATAGTAAATTCATTTTCACACCAACTGAATTCTTTTAAATCAGCACAAATCCAGCAGAGAGAAAGACACAGAAAGGTACATCTTATGGGAGAAGGTAGAGGCAGACAAAGACAATAATTTTAAGTACTAAAAGGTAATGCAAAGTTTATTAAAAACATCAATTTAATTAATCAAAATGACAGAAAAAGAATCAGGTTGGGCCAGGGATTTAGCTCAGTGGGGCCATTGCCTGCCTCACAAGCCCAAGGTCCTGAGTTCAATCCTCGTACCAAAAAAAAAAAAAAAAAAAGAATCGGGTAAAAAAACTTAAGACTTGATTTTAATGTTTATTTTCTGGGTTAAAAGACCAGAAAGTATTTTGTGGGTTAAAATAAACCAGAGTTTTATTTTAAATTTTTTCCATTGGTTAAAAGCAGTAAAAATTGCCCATTATTCTTTCCTCAGGCCAATAATAGAAGAGTCTCATGAGGCAAAATAAGAGCCAGGAATAAGACCAAAAGGGAAACAAAGAACATCAAACACTTCGGTTGTATGTGTGTGTCCTGTGGTTCTACTGTCCAGGTAATTGAATTCTTCTGTGTGTACATTTTTATACATCTTTTCATTGAACAAACATTGAATTAAATGGAGTATGATTTTTATCTCTATGGATTGCTTCAAGTCAGAGTTTCTCAACCTTGGCACATTTGGGACTGGGTCACATTAATGCTGGGCCAAGGCTGCAGGCTGCTCTGCTCGTTGTTGGGGGTCAGCAGCTTCCCCAGCCTCTACTCACTACATGCTGGAGCACCTCCCAAGTGCAGTGTTAGGGTTTGGATGTTAAATGTCTCCAAAAGCCCTGTGTTGAAAGCGTTATTATGAGGCTGTGGTGATACTGAGAGGCAGTGGAGCCTTTAGGAGTTGGACCTAGTGGGAGGAAGTGAGATGACCAAGGGCAAGCCCTTGGCGGAGATGCTTGATCCCACCCCCTCGCCCCTCTCCCTTCTCTCCCCTAGCCACCATGTATCGAGCAGCTTCCTCCACCACTCACTTCCCACCATTCTGTTCACCTCACAGACCCCAAAACAAGTCAACTGACTCTGGACTGAAACCTCTGGAACCATGAGCCGAAACAAATTTCTTCCTTATAAGCTGATTAATTATCTCAGGTATTTTGCCATAGGGACAGAAAGTGACTAATACATGTGACAATTAAGAATGTCTCCAGACATTGTCAGAAGTCACTGGGGAACAAAATTCTCCTAGTTGAAAACCACAGCTTTCAGTCTTCTTGAGAAAATTTTCAGGATGGAGAATTAGAAAAAATACTGCCACCTGACTGGCAATTTCCATGTTGTAAAAGGAAATATTAATCTGTTCTGGGTCACAAGACTGGGAGAATCAAATGAATAAAACCATATGTGAAAATGCTACAGAAAGTAGGGTTTTGAGCAGGAATGTTTTTATAATTCATCCTGTCCCACTTCTTTGTATGAGGAAGGAAAATCGAGAAAAAATGTTTGCCTAAGGACCACACCAGTGCTATACAAACATCAAAGGTTATAGCTAAATACTGAATGGTTCACACCTGGAAAAACAAAGGCCACAGAGCCACCATGAGTGGACCTCTGACATGGGACCACGTGAGCATCAAACCAAATAGTGGCTTCAAAGGATTGAAACACATCTACAAGTTTAATCCATATTCCTAGTGATATTTTAAATGCATTAGCTATTTTTTATGTTTGCTTTTTAC